GGGGGCACATATATAAGATTGCGGGGTCGGGGGTTTGAGCCGTGGGCCCGACGTTGTGTCTTTGAGAAAGGCACTTTACACGAATTTTCCCCACTTCACCCACGTGGAAATGGGTACCCGGACATAGACAGCGAAAGATCTTGTCAGTATAGAGCTTGCTGTTGTGTTGAGCGGGGATTTGCGCTACGCAAATGCTATCTATTATATGACCTTATTGTGTTGCAATTGCCATAAAACTCCTACTAAAACTAAAAACTAAAACATTTTTACAAGTGTACCGTTGACCAAATTATGTCCTTGTTTGTGGGTGGTTGGCGGGTGCTCTGGTGTGGTTTGCTTCTTCTTTCCTATCAAGCATCTGTCGTCCTTATAAATCTCTCCTCCTTTTTTTGGGTATGTTTTACTCTCTTGTAACACCTCTAATCTTTGGCACTTATATGACCTTATTGTGTTGCAAGTGCCATAAAACTCTTAGTAAAACTAAAACTTTGGATCTGCCCCTCTTGCGATGTCTTTCGGGTGTCCTGTGGAGGGCAAATTTTACAATAGAGTCCGGTTCTCCTTCTCAGAACATGCCCAATCCATCTCCATCTCCTCTCTCCATGTTATTATGGTGGTCATGTCCTCTTGCCTACATTTGCGTAAAAGATCTGCGTTGGAAATCTAGTACCGTTGACCAAATTCTGTCCCTGTCCTGTTTCCCCCCTCCTCAGTTGGAGTGCGAGGCGGAGCGGCTGGTGTGGAGCAAGGTGGAGCGCAGCGTGCAGCAGTCGTCTCGGGAGATGTGCGAGGTCCTACACCACAAACAGTTCTATCTCAACACCCTCATGCTGTGATCTCATTGCGGTTGCGCCACACGCGTTGGCGTGTACGTTGACGTGCGCGCACGCGCACACACACACACACACACGTTTTCACATACATCGGCACGTTCACAGATGCAGGTGTTTTTTATATATATATATATAGTCCACTGGAAAAACGTGCATAGTCACAAACTGAAAACCGTGAGGTTTATCAATTTTGAACGCTTGTTGACTCATAACTGTATGCCTGTTCAACTGTTGGTTGATTATTGTTGTTAGATTTACCATTCAACAACACTCAACAATAAACCACCAGTCAAACTAATATGAAGTTATGAGTCCACAAGCTGTCAAAACTGACGCCCTCAAAATTTCCAGTTTGTGACCATGCCCGTTTTTTCAGTGGGCTCCTCGTATATATATGTGTGTGTGTGTTTGTGTGCGCGCCTGCCTGTTGGATGTGTGTGTGTTTAGTGTGGTGGTATGTTCTCGTGAGTGTGTACAGATGACATCCTGTCTTCTCGTTTCACCATCCAGAGTTGGGCTGTGTCTGACTGAACAAGGTTGTATTTATGTGTTTGTGTGTGTGTGTTTATGTGTTTGTGTGTGTGTATATACACCATGACCGTCGATGTGTTGCTCCAGACCTGAAACCCGAAGAAAAAGAAGTTTGTGTGTATGTGTGTGTGTGTTTGTGTGCACGCGCGTGCATCATGTTCATCGTTGTGGATGGTAGGCGAGGGTGCTCTGGTGTGGTTTGCTTGTTCTTCTTTCCTATCAAACATCCATCGTCCTCATCTCCCCTCCTTCTCTTTTCTGTTTGTTACTCTCTTGTAACACCTCTAATCTTCTGGCACTCATATGACCTTATTGTGTTGCAAGTGCCGTAAAACTCTTACTAAAACTAAAACATGTTCATTGTTTTCTAAATGTTCTTGGAAGACCAGGCCTGGGGGGTGTGGCAATGTGTCCGCTGGTTGTGCCTCCGAACCAAACAGGGAAGTGTGTGTCGCTTGTGTGTCGAGTTGTGTCAAATGTGAGAACATCAGACTGTGCTGGGTGGTTGGCGGGTGCCCTGGTGTGGTTTTACTTGTTCTTCTTTCCTATCAAACATTTATCGTCCTCATCCCTCCTCCTCCTCCTTTTTTGTGTTTGTTACTCTCTCGTAGCACCTCTAATCTTCGGCACTTATATGACCTTATTGTGTTGCAAGTGCCGTAAAACTCTTACTAAAACTAAAACATGTTCATTGTTTTCTAAATGTTCTTGGAAGACCAGGCCTGGGGGGTGTGGCAATGTGTCCGCTGGTTGTGCCTCCGAACCAAACAGGGAAGTGTGTGTCGCTTGTGTGTCGAGTTGTGTCAAATGTGAGAACATCAGACTGTGCTGGGTGGTTGGCGGGTGCCCTGGTGTGGTTTTACTTGTTCTTCTTTCCTATCAAACATTTATCGTCCTCATCTCTCCTCCTCCTTTTTTGTGTTTGTTACTCTCTCGTAGCACCTCTAATCTTCGGCACTTATATGACCTTATTGTGTTGCAAGTGCCGTAAAACTCTTACTAAAACTAAAGATGGCGGAGTGTCTGTGTGGCGGAGTCATAATTTTGTGTGTTGATTATATAGCAGAGGCACAGATTCCTCTTGCTGCCTTTTGGCTGTGTGTGTGTGTATGTGTGTGTGCGCGCACGCACACATGCTTGTGTGTGTGTGTTCTCTCTTTTGTGTGTGTGTACGTGTGTCTGTGAGGGAAAGTGCTCAAAATGTCGGTCAGTCTGTTGGGATGGGAAATGTATGTCTCTGGGTGTCACACCATCTTGTTCTGCCAGTGACACTCTACTAGATGTACCAGTGACACTCTAGATGATCTTGTGACATGCTATAGATGGACCAGTAGTAGGCTAGATACATTTGTATCACTCTAGATGGTCCTGTATTGTGACGCACGACGTGGTCCAGTAACACACCAGATGGTCTTATGACACATCAGATGTCTCAGTGACACACAAGATTGACGTGTGACACTCCTTGCTCACCATATGGACCTATGAGACCTATGACACACACCACACGCTAGATCAAGATAGACTTGTATCGAGACACACTAGATAGTTAGTCTTATAGTTATGACACACTAGATGGACATTTGACGCTCTACACAGACTTGTGATGACACACAAGTTTGGGCCACGGAAAGTCAGGGACTACTCTGTCCCCGCGGTTTTATGCAAAAAAAATTATGAAAAATGCAAACTGAGCCCAAAAATGTGAAATTATGCGATTTTGTTAATTTTAACAAAGAATGACGAAGGGAAAATAATCAGAAATTATGAAAAAAAATGATCAATTTTTGCTAAATTATACAGGGTGCATAAAACCCCAGGGACAGACTACTTTATCAGTGGCCCTCTGGTGACGCCCTCCTTCACTCGTCTTTGTTGTTGGCAGGCATGCCTTGAGCTTAACCCTATCCATACGTCGTGTTTTACTATCGTATCCATACGACGTGGGGAACTCTGTGCCACCACTTTCCAAATAGGAAATTTACTCGTTAATCCAATCCGTACGCTTTGCATAGCAGTCTGTCAAAATGATGCTTTGAGAAATACTGAAAGTTTCAAAGATATTTTTGTACTAAAAGTATTCTAAAAAGTGAAGAATACCACCAAAATGACACCAGGGCGTACGGATAGGGTTAACGCTTACACAATATGATCAAAATAATGTTGAGTCGTGGATAAACTATCCACAGGATCGAATTTTCTGTCGGAAAATCTGACGGATGAATGCAACTTTTTAAAACACAACTCGTTCAGATAGAACGTTGGACTTTCTTTTGGATACAACACGTTCCTTTTTGGTTTCGTCTAATTATTGTATAAATTGGTCACTTTTTTTTTTGCTTCTTCAAAAACAAATTGTTTGGTTGAAAGAATGGGAAATTGGATGAGAAAGGGGTGAAGTGAATCTCATGCTGATGGTGAACAAGAAAAAAAGAAGTGTGTGTGTGTGTGTGTGGCCTGTGTTGTGTGTGTGTGTGTGGCCTGTGTAGATGTGTTTGTGTGTGTGTGTGTGTGTTGGAAGTGTAGGCGTGCATGTGTTTTTATATGGGTGTGTGCATGTATTGTAAAACTTGCCATAGTCGTTTAACACACAATCATGAGGTGAACACATGATACCAAAATGTGTTTGTTTGTGTGTGTGTGTGTGTGCGGGGATGAGCGGGAGTGAACTCTTTTGATATGAAGATAGTGAGCGGTTTGTGTGTTTTTTTATTTGCTTTGTGATTTAGTGAATGAATGCCAAACTAAATCCTTTCAAACCTTGTGTGTTTTTTTATAATGATATATTATGCAGTATGGTATGAAATCGGTGTTGTGTGTATGTTTTGACTGTGTGTGTGTGTGTTCGTTTGTATTTGGCGATGCAAGCAGCGGAATGCGTAGGAGTTTCAGTCCACTGCCTGATTTTTTGTAAGTTATTCTCTTTGCTGGTGTCATTTCCACTGTCAGTATGCAATACACACAAAGCTGGCCACGGGGCCTCCCCAATGGGGCGGCGCATTCTGTTGGTTTTGTATTAAAAACAGAGATTTTAGAAACCTTGAGTTTGTTTGTGCAGTATGTCGTTGTTTGCCTGTATGTCGTTTGCGTGTTTCACTGTATCGTTGTTTGTGGTGGATCATGGTGCTCTAGTGTGGTTTGCTTCTTCATTCCCTATCGAACATCTATCGTCTTTATCTCCCCTCCTTTTTGTTTGTTACTCTCTCGTAACACCTCTAATCTTCGACACTTATATAACCTTATTGTGTTGCAAGTGCCGTAAAACTCTTACTCTTACTAAAACGCATTCTTACTAAAAATGCTCCTCCTTTTTTTGTTTTTAAGTAAGGTTGGCAACACACTGGCCCATGTTTCCCACGTTTTCACGTTGTTACCATCACCCAACTTGCAGAGTGGGTGGTTGGCGGGTGCTCTGGTGTGGTTTGCTCCTTCTTTCCTATCAAACATCTATCGTCCTTATCTCCCCTTCTTCTTTTTTATGTTTGTTACTCTCTTGTATCACCTCTAATCTTCTGGCGCTCATATGACCTTATGCAGTTGCGAGTGCTGTAAAACTCTTACTAAAATTAAACTAAACTAAACAACTTGCAGATGTGATGGAAGCCTTCTTTACTAAATAATTAATCTATATCTGGCGTCGCACTGACTTCACATCACAATCCCCTCACTTTCACTGCCCGCCCTTCACCATTTTGATTTTACCGCTGCCGTAAAATTGCTGTGTGCTGTCCATGTGGTTTTATGCATTCGGCATAATTTAGCAAAATTTGATCATTTTTGGCTTAATTCCTGATTATTTTCCTTTATCATTCTTTTGTTAAAATTAATAAAATCTCATTATCTCACATTTTTGGGCCCAGTTTGCATAATTTCAGAATTTTCCATAAATGAAAATGACGGGGACAGTCTCTGCAAATCGTCCCTGTGCGGTCTAGGACCGGAAATTCTAAAAATACCAGTCAGGAATGTAAAAATCTGAAATTTATTTTAATCAAAATTGCATCAAATTGTAGTTTTGACTTCTGATTTGGATTCTGCGATGAAAATTACTCAGCGCCCAAAATTTTAACTTTAACTTTTAAGGCCCATTTTCGCAATAAACGTTAAAAAAATAATTGTAAACTAAACACGCTGACCTCAACCTACATGTTTTGGGTCTTTCACTTTTTTCTTTTTGGTAGGCCCTACGTAAATCTAGTACTTGAACGATTTATATTAAGACACTTGATTCAGAACTTGAGCTGACAATTTTAGACTTAGACAATATGGAAGAAGCACTAATTGCAGCGATGCAGAAGAGACCTGCACTTTTTGATAAATCACAAGACGATTACTCTAAACTGAAATTACGTCAAACAGTGGGTTGTGTAGACATTGTCGTTATTGCTATAGAAGTTGGAGTGGAGGGTAAGAATGAAAGTTTCATTGTTTATTTTTAAAGTGTTCTATTTTACGAGGGAGAAAGGAATGTGAAGTCAGTACGTTTGTGTTGTTATCAACTCAAAACTTTTCCTCCCCAAAACAGAGAGATGAAACTGTGGGGAACGTGAAGCCAGTGCGTTCGTTTCCAGCCTTATTCTCTTAAACTAGCATCTGCATTTGTTGCCATTTTTGTTTGGAAAAGTTGCAACATAAAATGGCAAAAGTTCACATTAA